ATGGCTTATTATAAAGTAATAAAAATTACATTAAATAATTATTTTAGCAAATAATTAAGTTTATAACTATTTTTCAAACTTAAAGCACAAGTGTTTCCGAAGCGCAGAGCAAAAAGAGCCAAAACTATTGCGACAATTGGCGCAAAAAATGGCGAGAATTCACTCGACATGTGTTCCCATAAAGAAGAAGACAGACTTTGTGTTTGGATTCATTGACCAGTTCTACGCGGAGGCGCACAACGAGTTTGACATAAAGTCATTGATTAATGAATGCAAATGCAATACATTTCTCAAGCATGACCTCAAACAAGAGTTGCAATCGCTTAAAGACCTAATCATTAAAACTGATTCTCCGGTGACTTTCACTCACATAGACTTTAGAGGATCTAATGTTATGGTTACCGAAAAGTCCGATATAATTCTGTGCGACTTTGAGTACTCATGCAATGAGTATCGGGGCTATGATTTTGGCACACTATTCACCGAATGGGGTATCGATGACATTGTAAGCCAAAGGCAGACTGAGTTTCCCGACGACCGGGAAATTGTGCCCTTCATTGAGTCCTATATCAAAGAGTCGGTCAATATTTTGGGCGAACAATTTACGGCTGATAAACGAAATTCAGTCAAACATATATTGAAAGAAGTAAAAGTGTTTTCATTGGTCGCCAAAATGTTTCTAATATTGTTTTCACTCAAATTGAAGGACGGCATCGCTAATGGATACAAATTTGATAAAAAAGAAACTATGGTTTGTTTAAATAGATTTATCATGTTTGCATTATAGTTCTGTTAATTTTAATTAATGAATATTCTTTAATCACTTTTTAGTTGCCAATTGACTCCATGTATAAAAATTACATCGATCTCAAACAGAAGTTTATTGACGATAATGCTATTTAAAAGAATTACATGTAACTTAATTGCTTTATATATAATTTTGTTATTTCCATAATCTGTATTTCAATGTTAGATGAGTTTAATATTATTAATAATTAATAACTTTTAAATTAAGTAAATTTATTATTGATAAACAAAATATTAACTGCATTAATATTATTAAAGATTAATGCATACATGAATTTTATACAAAATAACATTAATTTACCATTTAAATAAATTATTATTTAAATTTATCATTAAATTAAAATTTTAGATAAGTGTCAAAAACGAGTGCATCGCCAAAATATAGTACATTTATATCGATGTATAATATAAATAGAAAAGTGATAGATAAGTGTGCATACATATATTTAAATGTAGTTTTTAAAAATTTATATCCATATTAATTTACGTATTCATACAGTAAATGATTTACAATAAATTTCTTTAAATATATACAGTATGTTTGTATTTTTTTTGCAAATTATAATAATTCTAATATTAATTATTCATAATTTAATGCAACCAAACTTTTTAATTAATAATATATTATACTTAATCATATATCTTTTAAACATAAAATAAGAAATATTTGATTAGATTATTGTAAATATAAATAATCATAGAATAGAGTATATGAGAATGTGGCGATCATGGGGAACCTAGCAGCTAATGTATTTCCTATGGACAATGAGCAATAGTTATAACTCAAAAAGTACTGGACCAATTTTTACAATTTATATATCAAATTGTACAGAATGAAATTTGATTTGAGACCAATAGCAGGATTTTTTCTATAAATGTGAAGAATCAGAGTATACTCATATTAAATAGGTAAAAATATCATATTTTAAAGCCTTGCCATTTAAAAAATACTTATTCAATTTTAATTATCAGTACATCAAATTAGTTCAAATTAAGAATATGATAATAAAATTTTTTTGAATTTCAATATTTTAATACTAAGCCTTAGTTTTGCGCATAAAATTAGAAAATAAGTTCTAAATATCTTTACGATTGGAATTTTTAAAAACTAAAAAATTAAATTTTATTATTTTCAATTATGGCTAATTTGATATACTAATAATTAAAATTGAATCAGTAGTTTTTATTCACAGTAATCTATACAATTGACCTGGGAAGTGACCGTTATTTTAGGAGTAGACAATTGACTATGCCTATTGTGTAGATCATCAAAAAGTAGAATAGGAATGTAATACTAAGAAAAAATTTTATGTCGGAACTTCCGAGATAATGGCCAAAACAAAAAACCCTCCCCCATACACTCTCCCATAGAAAAAATAATAAATTCAAAAATTGCGCTCAAATTTGATGAAATCGATATAAAACCCTCTCCCATATACTCCCTCATAGAAAAAAAGTTAAAATTCAATTAAATACTATTGTACAAGATTACTGTCATGTCGATTGTACACTTGTTTTTAAATAACAAGGCTTTAAATTATTGTATATTTATCTCTTAAATATGAGTATAGTCTGATACTTCTCATTTATAGGAAAAATCCTGATATTGGTCTCAATTAAATTTCATTCTGTACAATTTGATATATAAATTGTAAAAATAGGTCCAGTACTTTTTGAGTTATAACTATTGCTCATTGTCCATAGGAAATACATTAGCTGCTAGGTTCCCCATGATCGCCACACTCTCATATATTCATCTCAAACATCAGTCAATTCATTAACTTCTCTGTGAAAACAAAATAATTTGAAAATGAGTGAAAAGAGCGGTAATAACTGTACAAAACTTGTGGTAAAGAATGTGATGAGGGGTTCGACACCTCCTGATTATAAGCAAAAGTGCTTCGACTTGTGTCGCGACTATTTGGGAGGCGTTTGGCTTAAACTGACCGTCGATGACGTGATTGTTAAGAGATTGGGCGGCGGTTTAACCAATCAATTATATTATTGCGCTCTCAATGACGGACACATAAGTAGTGATAACAAAGTGTCACAAGAAGTGACCGTAAGATTATATCAAGAAAAGCATTTTAAGGACACTAATGACGGTTACGAGAGATTATCGGATGTTATCATCGCTTTAATAATGTCTGAGAAGAAGTTGGGACCCAAGATATACGGCCTCTTCGAGAGCGGGCAGATTATGGCCTATTATAAGGTCCGTATAAAAGATATTTATTTTAATGTTATATTTATTGATTTAATATAATTTATTACTTTATCAAAATTAAAGCACAAATGTTTTCGTAAAGACGATCATAAAAACGCTCAGATAGTGACACAAGTGGCCAAAACATTGGCTCAAATACACGCCATGGATGTGGCCGTCAGGAAGACTGGGAACTCATTTATGGATAATTTGGACAACTTTTTGGACGAATCAAAGAGTCTGTTTGACATCAAGTCATTGATCAATGAATCCAATTGTCAGACATTAAGTGATCACGAGTTAACCGAAGAGTTGAGTTGGCTTAAGAAGTCTGTGGCAGCGGTTGATTCTCCGGTGACTTTCACTCACATAGACTTTAGGGGAAATAATATTATGATCACTGAAAACGATGGTATAGTTGTGTGCGATTTTGAGTACTCGTGTTATGACTGCAGAGGCTATGATTTTGGATCAGTGTTTTCCGAATGGGGCAAAGAGTTCGGTCATTACGACCACATCTATTATCCCGAAGACAATGAGATTAAGCCATTCGTTGAGTCCTATATCGAAGAGTCGACAAAAATATTCGGCAAAGAGTTTACGAGAGATGAAAGAAATTCATTGAAACATCTCATGAAAGAAGTGAAAATCTTCTCTTTAGTCGGTCTTATGTTTTATGTATTATTTACACTCAAAATGAATCAATCATTCATTCCTGGCATACCTTTTGATAAGAAGATTGTTATGGTATGAATCCATTAATAGTATAATTAAATAAATGTTTTAACTTTTTTCGTGATATTTATAGCAACGAACGGAATATTATTACAAGAATTACTATAATCTCAAAGAGAAGATTCTTAAAGAAAAGTTGATAACAATATAATCTATTGTTAAAACATTAAAGAATTCCAAACAAATATAAACTTCATTTTAATTGAATTACTGAAATAATTGAATTAATTAAATTGATTATACTGAATATTAAAAATATTAATTATATTTATTCATTGTGCATACATTTATTAATATAAATATATAACATACCAATTAATTGACTAAATAAACGTTTAAGATTTTTGTTTTACGTAATTAAAGTATATCTGCTGCAGAACATGCTTGAAATGTATTTATTCCCGCATACATTCCCATGTACCATGATACATGTTTATAAGTCGTGTTTATCAATAAATCTGTCACCGTCGAACTTGTTTATTTTTCAATCAATATTTAATGATTGTTATATCTTCTGACTATATTAATAATATGATTAAAAATAGAGTGCAATTTAGAGTACATAAAATTGCAAAATTTCTCGTGTGTTATCAATGTATTTGTTATCGCTGTCGCTAAACACTAATTACAACATATTAACAGTAAGTATAAACATTAAATAATATTAGTTAAATAACGTTAGTGATTAATAATTTAAAACTTTTAAAGGGATCACATTTTGCGCACTTAATAAGTACTTATTTATCACTTAAACCATCAAGTTAGTGCAAAAATTTGGTTATAAATACAATTTACTCCGAAAATTACTATAAATTAAAAACAATTTCAAAAAATATTTTAATTAGTTTATAAATAACGTAAAAATGGTCGTTGAAAACAAAGACAATACTATTACTGAATCAAAGGGTAATATCGTTGGTCCGACGCCTCCCGATATTAAAGAGAAATGCCTTCACTTATGTCGTGACTATTTGGGAGGCGTTTGGCTTAATATAACCGTCGCTGATATTATAGTGAAGAGAATAACAGGCGGTTTAGTCAACCAATTATACTATTGCGGTATTAATGAAGACAAACAAACCAGTGATGAAAAAGTGCCGCAAGAAGTGTCCATAAGATTATATCAAAATAAACTGTTAATCAATTTCAATAATAAAGGCTACGAACGGCTGACGGATGTGATTATCGCACAGTTATTGTCGGAGAAACAGTTGGGACCAAAAATATATGGTCTCTTCGAAAGCGGACAAATCATGAAATACTATAAGGTATTAGAAAATTGTTTTGTTATCAATAATATTTAATGAATAACTAATAATTTTGTTTCAATAACAGCACAAACGTTTCCGCAATGAAGAGCAAAATAATCCGAAACTTGTGGCCGAATTGGCCTCAAAATTGGCCCGAATTCACGCCACAGATGTGCCCATACGGCGGACTGTGTGTCCCGTTTTCAACAATTACGATATGCTTTATAGCGATGCCATGCGTTTGTTTGATATTAATTTATTGGTCAACGAATGCAATTGTGAGACATTAAGGGATCATAATTTGTCCGATGAGTTACTATGGCTTAGAAAGACTGTGGACGCCGTCGACTCTCCCATTGCTTTCACACATTTAGACTTCAGAGGGTCTAATGTTATGGTCACAGAGAGTGACGGTATAGTTGTGTGTGATTTTGAATTTGCTTGTTATACGTATAGGGGATATGATTTCGGATCAGCATTTGCTGATTGGGGCCGACTCTGGGATATAGAAGACACTCGCATACAGTTTCCCACAGACAATGAGATTAAGCCATTCGTTGAGTCCTATATGAAAGAGTCGGTGAAAATATTTGGCAAAGAGTTTACGAGAGATGAAAGAAATTCATTGAAGAATCTCATAAAAGAAGTGAAAGTTTTCTCGTTATGCGGTCTTATGTTTTACACTTTATTTACACTCAAAATGAATCAATCATTCAATCCTGACATACCATTTGATAAGAAGGCTGTTATGGTATGAATTGAATTAGTAACTAATTTAATGTTTTATAATGTATTGATTGTCTAAATTTCATTTATAGCAACGAACGGAATATTTTTACAAGAATTACTATAATCTCAAAGAGAGGATTATTAAAGAAAATCTACTCAACAAACCGTAATGATTATAAAAGTACACAAATATTTAATGTCAATAATTAATGAATAAAAGGTATATAATTTCTTAATAAAACAATAGAATTCATAAATTGTGTCAAAATGTATAGAATATATAGGAATAGAAAATCTAATAAATAAAAAACATTCAATTTTTGAGATCTTATTTCTCTTCTATTTTGTATCTTTCGGTGAAGTCTTCTTCTCCGTTATGTCTGTCTTCTCTTTGCACTAAAATTATAATTAAATTAACAGTTTTTATACAATAATTGTTAACAACTATTACCCTATTCTTCGGGTCGAACATAGATTTGTCGCAAAAGACTGGCCGTCCGTCTCGTCTGAACAATAGATAGTATCCGACGATTGACTTTCCAAACACAGACTCAACGATACCATCGATACTCTCAACAATCAATGGGTCGATGGCTTTGATAACTGTTTGATTTCTTCCAATCAATTCTCTGCATTTGGTTTCATTAGTCACTAGTTTTTGAGTCGTTTCTTGCGGTGAATAACACGATATCTTAGAGTCGTTTTTGCGGTAAATAACGACCCAATCGTTGCTAATGTATTTCGACGCCCGATATATAATGGCTTTGGCGTCGAATTGAGATTCCCTATCAGTCTTTCCAATCGTACAGTTCGTCACAATTGCTTTTGGATTCTTCGCCTTTAGATTCAATTCATTTTTTAACAAACGTTTTATAAACTAAAATTCAAAGTAAAATCACCTGATATTTGACATAACAGTCGTAATCATTGCCACTAAATCTATTGACGATTTGTTTATTATACCAACGATTTAATTTATGGAAAAACATTCCAAGACTTGTTGTCTCAAACCTAAGCCCCCATTGATTTCCATTGTTATACATAACGTATTCATCCCTAACACTGGATCTGAACACTTGTATGCCTTCATGTCTGCCATTAGTTTTCATTAATTCACAAAATCCTGTCTCATTTTGACAGTGAATGGCATTTAAAGACACAATGAATACAATAATTACAATCATTTTCTGTATAAAAGTGAAGAACTGATGGCAGAGATTGTAATAACAGTTGGAAAATAAAACATAATTCTGTAATTGATTTTAACAATAAATATAACGCGAGTTTTAAATCATGTATTATTGTTACAAGTGGAAAAATGAATTTTATATGAACTAAACTAAACTTTTAGTTTACAGAACATGGTTGCGTGCCCACCCCTAACCCCCACGTTACACCCTTACCTAACCTAACCAAACATAATATAACTATAAATTAAAGTTAACCCCGTTGGGGAGGTGTGGAGGGGGCGATACATACTGTAATTGCTATTTAATAATGTTTGTAACAATCAAACCCGTGCGCGCGCTTATAATATCTACTTTTTGTATGTAAAATGCACTAAAATTTTCATATCAAATCGACACAATGAATATTTGCACTAAAAAATGATAAAACATTTACAGATTATAATAAATTGAAATCAAAACGAAGTATTTACGTTTCTGTTACAACTTGGATATTTTTATATAAAATCATACAATTAAATTATTTACATACAGTTGTTTGCAAAATGTTGCAAATGTTTGACTAAATAACAAAACTTTTATAAATGGGGTTTTACTATTCGTAACATTTATTAATAAAATAGTATAAAATTTATAATTTTAGAGATTTCTTCTATAAGTCGAGTAGAACTACAATATGCCTGAACTAACTAAAAACGATTTATTTAGGGGTCCGACGCCTCCTAATATTAAAGAGAAATGTTTTGATTTATGTCGTGATTATTTGGGAGGCGTTTGGCTTAACGTAACCATAGATGACATCGAAGTGAAGCGACTGAGCGGTGGTCTCACTAATCAGTTGTATTATTGCGCTCTCAATGAAAAGCAGAGACAGAGTGCCGAAGATGTGCCGCAAGTAGTGGTCATTAGATTATATTTGGAAAAACTTTTTAATAAATCAGAAAATGGAAGATTTAATGACACTATTATTTCAATGATTATGTCTGAGAATGGTGTGGGACCTAAAGTGTATGGATTATTTGAGCATGGTCAAATCATGAAATATTATAAGGTAAACTTAAATAAATAATAGCATAATATATAAAGTTTGTTTTTAACAATAGCACGAATGGTTTGAATTGAGTGATCAAAAGAATCCAATTCTGGTTCAAGAATTGGCCCAAAAGTTAGCGCAAATTCATTCAACTTTTGTTCCCATAAAGAAGAATCATAATTGGATTTTTGATAATTTTGACGATTCGTATGACAAGGCGTACAAACTGTTTGATATCAACGCTCTCATCGATGAATGCAATTGCGAGACATTTAAAGCACACGATTTGCAACAAGAGATACAATGGACTAAAGATTTAATTACAAAATCCAATTCTCCCCTAACTTTCACTCACATAGACTTCAGAGGACCTAATATTATGATCACAGAAACTGATGGTTTAGTCATCTGTGACTTCGAGTACGGCTGTTATGGCTGCCGGGGCTTTGATTTCGGAGCACTATTTGCCGAATGGGGCCGAGAATGTGGTAAACATTGTGAATACGTTGAGTTTCCCGACGACAACACTATCCGTCCGTTTATTGATTCCTATATTAAAGAGTCGACTAAAATATTGGGCGAAAAGTTTACAAACGATACACGAAATACATTTCAACACATTTTGAAAGAGACGAAAGTATTCACAATAGTGTCGACACTATCTCTCGTATTGTTGTTATTAACAATCAGTGAATCCGCTATTTATGGGCAACCGTTTGATAAGAAGAAACTAATGGTTTGTGATTAATATAAAACTTTATAACAATTAACTACTATTGATACATGTATTTTGATTTTTTTTTGTAGCACACCACTGATATGGCCTACAACAATTATTTTACGTTAAAACAAAAATTGATTACAAATAATTAGTTTATTGAATTAAAAATAAAACATTTAATAATAAAGTATAACAAATAAAATAATTAAAATAATAACTTTTCAATAAAAGTTTATCAAATTTAAAAAATACAATGAAAATTGTTGTTTAGAATTTTAACTTTAAATAAATAAGTTTGTAATAAGTTTTGATAATGTAAAATATAATTTATTAATGTGCCCTTAAAACTACTAATTAATATTTATTATATCAAAGACATTTAATAGCCAAACTAAAAGTTCACCATGAGTCAATCATTGCAAAGCACACGATAAAAATACACACTTACCATATAATGTATACCATACAAGTATACCATATAATGTATGTAAAAATATGAACGCGTGGTTGACATCAATGACCATCAGTTGTGGTCAAAGACATCAACAGCTAATCAGTGGTGAATAGCGTACAAAATAATTGTGTGTGTCATCACCGATGGAACCGCTGGAACCGCTGTAAGTGATCTCATATTTTATCCAATCCTATAATTAAAATCTCAATACTATTCACTTTGAAGTGAACTAAAGCCATGACTTTGTCGTCGAGACACGTGTTTAATGTATTTTGTGTTTAAAGGGTCCGATAGTCAGAGCATTGGTATTGAATTTGGCGATAAATGAGAGACAAACCATTTGAAGACATTAGTAATGGTCAGAAGACTTGACTCTTTCGAACAGTTGTCTGAATGCAAGTCATCGCCAGACCTGCCATTAGATACTGGACTCAAGACAATTTGGCCGTTTGGCAACACTTGTAGACGACTGGCCATCACGTGTTGTACGGTTGATGTCCGAAAGGTGGCTAGTTGACCTAGCTGGCCAAGTAGGCTAAAGACTCCGCACGTGATTGGCTGTGGGTATAGCGGGCGACAAGTTGTGTCCAATTCGAGTGGAGGGGCGGCAGCCATACAACCGCCTTCGGGAACTTGTCCCTGGGCCGCCCATTAGACAACCGCAACCGCTATCACCCATATGTCCGCAAACCATTTGAAGACATCAAGTAATGGACAGAAGACTCGACTTATTTGAACAGTTGTCTGAATGCAAGCCATCGCCAAGACTTGCCATTGAATACTGGACTCAAGACAATTGCCGGCATTCCCGGCACTACTAGTCGTGGCCTTCAATTCGTGAGCCATTCATAAGATGGATGACAGGTATTGAAAATACCTCCACTCTTAACCCCCAGTCCTATCTCTACCCCAACCCCTCCCCACCCGATGTATAATTGATAACAACTAACGCTATATTTGTTGTATTAACAGGTGTTGGGGAACATCACCGGCCACTTCTGTGGGCACTGTTCAGTGCAAGTAATCAACGCTCACCTGTGCTAACACGTGACTCGTCGACAATATGCGGTCAAATGCCATATGTATTGCAACTCAAAGCACATCCCATATGAACACAAACGCCGCAGACATTTGCCATACAAGACATGACTCGTTCGGCAATCAATTGTTTGCCATTAATTTGCATACATTTGAACTGAAAGTGCATTCATTTCTCGATCGCCATAACCAACGCATGTCTGCATTTGTGGCACACAATCAGTTTCTCAAGAGTTTGGTCGTAAATTGGAGTCGTTTTCACACTTTATTTGCCCGAAATGTGCGCACATTTGTGAGGAGCGCCACAAACAACAGGTGTTTACCATTAAATCATTTGATGAATACATTGAATACTAATTATGCATTTGTTTTACTTTTGTTTTTGTCTCGTATTTTAGCCACAGATTTACGCGAAGAACTCAATGGACAGATTCGGCGATGACATGTATGAATGGCGTCAATTGCTTGCATATGTATGCCATACATGCCATACACTACACGTGGCCACACATATGAGCGACCACTTGAAGGGAAGGGTGTTTTTGTTAGGCCTCGAGAGAGGGGGAGACGGGTTGGCGCGTCCATTGCCGGTGGACTCGGGCCGCACCAAACAACACGTTGTCAATGGGCTGACCCCCACCGACAACCCGGCAAACCTGATCCACGTCTGCATCTCCCGGAAGGTAAGGTGTGATCACGTGTGTGGGCACAACTGGAGGGCGAGTACTACACGCTCT